CGTTGGTTCACTCTCCAATGGCCGCCGCTGCAGCCGGCGCACCGCGCTGATCCTGGCAGGAGCCAGGAGCCAGGTGCTTTTCCTGGTCTCCCATGGGGTGCAGGGCCCAAGCACCTGGGCCATCCTCCACTGCACTCCCTGGCCATAGCAGAGAGCTGGCCTGGAAGAGGGGCAACCGGGACAGATTCCGGCGCCCCAACCGGGACTAGAACCCGGTGTGCCGGCGCCGCAAGGTGGAGGATTAGCCTATTGAGCCACGGCGCCGGCTAATTTTGGCACTTTTTATTTAAGATTTATTTTATTTATTTGAAAGGCAGAGTTACGCCGAGAAAGAGGGAATGACAGAGAGAGAGGAAGAGAGAGAGAGAGAGGGAGAACTTCTATCTGCTAATTCACTCCCCAAATGGCCGCAACGGACAGAGCTGGCCAGTCCAAAGCCAGGAGCCAGGAGCTTCTTCCGAGTATCCTACGTGGATGTCAGGGGCCCAAGCACTTGGGCCATCTTCCGCTGCTTTCCCAGGAGCATTAGCAGGAAGCTGGATCAGAAGCGGAGCAGCCAGGATCTGAACTGGTTCCTATATGGGAAGCTGGTGTTGCAAGTGGCAGTTTAACTCACTACCCCATATGCTGGCTTCCCTCACCCCCTTTCTTAATTAAAAATTTGTGTAAAATGTGTATTTGAAAGGCAGTGTGTATGCATGGTGGGGGGAAAAAGGGGAGTGGAGCGAGAAAGAAACATGGAGGTCTTCCAGCCACTGGTTCATTCAAATATCCAAAACAACCAGGGTTGGGCTAGGCTGGAGTCAGGGGCCTGGGACTCTATCCAGGTCTTCCACATGGGTGGCAGGGACCCAAGTACTTGAGCCATCACCTGCTGCCTCCCAGTGTGCATACTAGCAGGAAGAGCCAGAACTTGAACCTAGGCACTGCGACCCAGAACGCAGATGCCTCAAGGGGTGTCTTAATCGCTGTAGGCAATGTCTGCCCCAGGTGATTGTTTCTGAGCTGGCTGAGCAGTCAGGCTTGGCAGGAACGTCTCAGGGGGCTCTGGGTAGGTCTTTCCAGGGGCAATGGCAGGTCTGATTCTCAGTCTCAGAGTAGCAGTTTGTGCCTTGAAGCGACCTGTCACAGTGGTCTGCTGGCCACCACTGCCCCTGGATGCCACCGCCCCCCCAGCCTCTCTGCTGGAGGCTGTTCTCAGGTCCCTGTGCTGGTCCCTTTTCTGGTGCTAGTAATACAGTACACATTGCGGTGAGTTATAAAGAAATGAGCTTCAGTTTGGCTCAGAGCTGTCGTCCAGGCTTGAGGAGGGGTCACATGTGCTGATGGCCTTTTGCTGGCAGAGTGACAGATGGTGCAGGGTAGCACACGATAAGAGATAGGGAGCAGGGAGAGACCCAGGGAACTGGCTTTCAGAGCAGACCCAGGAACCCATGCACTAATCCACTAATCACACGAACAGATTAATCCATTCACAACGGCAGAGCCCTAATCACGTCGTAAAGGTCACTCCTGGTCCCACATCTTAATATCTCATAATAGGGATTACATTTCAACATGAGGGCGTACTCGTCCATTTTCATTGCTATAATGAAATGCTCAAGGCAGGCTAATTTTATTAAGGAAGGAGGCGTGGCGGTTCAAGGTCATGGCACTGGTATCAGCACTGCTCTGGGGAGGGCCCTCTGGGCTTTTATGATGATTCACTCTCTCAAGAATTCCCTCCAGCAAACCAGTCTTCCCTTTTGAGCAGGGAAGGTCCCCGGTGACCTAAGGACCTCCCACTAGGAACCACTTCTTAAAGGTCCCATCCGCTTTCTCATCATCACAATGGGGTCCAGGCCCCCGACACATACGGGGACACAAAACCATTTTCAAGCCAGAGCAGCCCCCTCGGGCTCTCCTGCCTCACAGCTGCCTGCCCCCTGCTCTCAGGTCCCCCCACCCCAAGGCGAGCCTGGCTGCCCAGCACCCTGGCTCCTGCAGTCACACTGGCCAGAGTATGGGCCCCAGTGGAGGGCACATGTTGAGTGTCACAACTTGTGGAGTTTCCAGATCTTACTGTTCCCCACCCAAGTTCTGAGTCCACTTCTTGGTAACTAGAAATCCAAACCTCGAGCTGCAGTAGCTGTCACACAAAGGAATTTACATGCAGCAAATTAGGAGACCATAGAAAATAATTTCCAGAGCGGTGGTTCCTCACACCCAGAGAAGTGGGTGTCTTCCATCCCAGGAGCAATGAACGTTCACGAGGGGAAGTGTGTGTCGTCTCACGTAGGGGTGCGCACAACACGCACAGGCACAGTTTAGGAAACATGCGCTTAAGCATACATCGCATGCTACAAGCATGAGGCTTAAGCTGCTCCTGGGGCGGATAGCTTAGCGTTGAAAGTAGAGAAAGGTGCCGGCGCCGCGGCTCACTAGGCTAATCCTCCGCCTAGCGGCGCCGGCACACCGGGTTCTAGTCCCGGTCGGGGCGCCGGATTCTGTCCCGGTTGCCCCTCTTCCAGGCCAGCTCTCTGCTGTGGCCAGGGAGTGCAGTGGAGGATGGCCCAAGTGCTTGGGCCCTGCACCCCATGGGAGACCAGGAAAAGCACCTGGCTCCTGGCTCCTGCCATCGGATCAGTGCGGTGCGCCGGCCGCAGCGCACTGGCCGCGGTGGCCATTGGAGGGTGAACCAACGGCAAAGGAAGACCTTTCTCTCTGTCTCTCACTGTCCACTCTGCCTGTCAAAAAAAAAAAAAAAAAAAAAAAAGTAGAGGAAGGTTCACTCAGTTAATTCTCAAACACTTGGATATGCCCAGCTGTCCTGGCTGTGGTTGTGTGTGGTTGTTTCAACTAGATTCTTAGGTCAGCCAAAGCCAAGTTTCTTGTTCTGTTTTGGATCAGGAGTGGAGCAGCCAAGACTCAAACCGATGCCCACATGGGATGCGGGCACTGCAGATGGTGACTTAACCCACTATGCCACAGCGCCGCCCAGCCACTTTCCTTGGTTGATGTCATCTGCAGGAGTTCTACCTCTCATGTGGGCTACATCACCATGGCGTCAGCTGCCAGGCAGCCTTCAGAGGGAGGCCTGCGGACCTGCCTGCATTGGATGCCATGCGGATAACGCTACACAGCGCTGTGAGTCAGAGCAAAGTCGGGCCGCTCTGCTCCGGAAGGTCAGCAGCCAGCCCAGTGTTCCCCCTGACACCTGTGTGCGAGAAAGCCTGGCATAATTAAGCGAAATCAAAAAAACAGCCACAGGTTTGTGGGTTGATAGCTCTGGGCACTGATCTTTGTTATGTCTTTTACAAGCTGTGTGGACTACTCTAGCTACCCATTCACGTGTAATAAACCAGCCCAAAACTTACTGGCTTAAAATGCCACAGTTGAGGTGCTCCCATTTCTGCAGTGTGGGTAGCTTCTCCGCTGTCTTGCGGGAGGATGGGCTTCTCTTTCTCCTCGTGGGCTCAAGCTTTTCTCTCCAGCAGCAGCTGCGCTCAGCCCCTCCCAGGAGCCGGGTTTCCCTTCCCCTTCTCCGTCTTCTTTTGGATATTTTATTTATTAATTATTTTTTAAAAAAGATTTATTTTATTTACTTGAAAGGCAGAGAGACAGAGAGAGGAAGAGACAAAAAGAAAGAAAGCTTCTGTACACTGGTTCACTCTGCAAATGGCCAGGCCGACGCCAAGAACCAGGAACTTTATCCAGTCTCCCACGTGACTGGCAGGGGTCAAGTGCTTAAGCCATCTTCTGCTGCCTGCCCAGGCTCATTAGCAGGGAGCTTTATCAGAAGCAAAGCAGCTGGGATTTTCTTTTCTTTTCTAAGACTTAATTTATTTATTTATTTGAAAGTCAGAGTTACACAGAGAGAGAAGGAGAGGCAGAGAGAGAGAGAGAGAGGTCTTCCATCTGCTGGTTCACTCCCCCAAAATGCATTCACATCTACTTATGATTATCACTATTTTGTGGAAGAAGAACACAGACTCCGGAAAGTTTTGTAACTTCTCCAGGGTCACATCCCTTTTCAGTCAAGGAACATTTATCAGGAGTCTCCTAAATTTTTGGCACTGGGAATACAAAAGTCCCTGCCTGCTCGAGGTTTCAAAATAGTGAGGAAGGCTCAAGCAAACAGTGCGGTGGATGCAACAGGCCAGGCTTGCAGCTGGAGCACAGCACAGTGGGTTCGTCTGAGGCAGGAAAGGCCTTTGGAAGGGATGATGCTTGAGTCGAGTTTTGAAGGGGTCCACGGAGTCACAGCGCAGGGAAAAGTGCCCTCAGGTTACGGGGAAGAGGTATGAAGGGGCGTGGTTTGTGTGTGCCAGCCCAGGATGCTTGTGTGTACAGCACAACTGGTGTGAGCCAGACCAGAATGCTCGACCGTCAGTGTCCTGGGCATCCATTTTTTGGGAAGGAGCCAAGGTTGTGTAACAATTAATGTTAGGGGGCCGGCACTGTGGCGTAGTGGGTAAAGTCGCTGCCTGCAGCACCAGTATCCCATATGGTTCAAGTCCCGGCTGCTCCACTTGTGATCCAGCTCTCTGCTATGACCTGGGAAAGCAGTAGAAGATGGCCCAAGTCCTTGGACCCCTGCACCTGTGTGGGAGACCAGGAAGAAGCTCCTGGCTCCTGGCTGTGGATCGGCACAGCTCCGGCTCTCTCTCTCTCTCTCTTTTCTCTCTCTGTGTAACTCTTTCAAATAAATAAATAAATCTTAAAAAAAAATCAATGTTAGTATCCAGGCCTAATTCTGTTTTGCCATATGTGCATAAGCAACAATAGAGATGGAGAAAGACAAAGACAGACACAGATGCACAGAGACCTACACACAGAACATACACAGAGAGAGAGACGGACACACAGCCAGGGCCACATACAGAGACAAACAGGGAGAGACAGAGCAAATCCCCAATTCAGAATAAAGTGAGTTGACTTTGAAGATTTCCTTAGTCATGAGATGAGCTTTAACGCAACCTGCATCTCTGTTAACTTTGTTTTCTCATTCATTCATTCAGCCAACACTTGTTAGCCCTGCCCTGATGCCATGCACCTGCTCAGAGCTGAGCATGCAAAGCTGAATTGGTCAGTGCCTCTGCCCTCCAGAATCACAGAATCTGGTCAAAGAGTGTCCACATGCCTGGGGCAGGACGGCGCTCTGCAAAACCAAATTTACAGAAAGAAAGCTCAGAAGAGTGCACGTGGACAGAACTCCAACTGATGGCAGAATGATTCGAAAGGTAGGGATCTTTTTTTTTTTATTTAGTAAATATAAATTTCCAAAGTATAGTTTATGGATTACATTGGCTCCCCCCCCCCCCCATAATTTCCCTCCCACTCGCGGCCCTCCCATCTCCCGCTCCCTCTCCCAGGTACGGATCTTAAGAGGTGAATTCTAGGAAAGCAGGATGCAGAATTGCACGTGCAGTATGGTTACAACCAAAGCATTTCATAGAGAAAGGGTGGAAGGAAAGCTAGTAGGATGCTAAGTAGCCATCTTTGGTTATTACTTGGCAATTGTTGATTTTTTTTTTATTATTCCTGGCCTACTTGATTTTAGGCCTTAGATTATTTCGCATGACTGTGTGATTGTTATTTTCTATTACCTAATGATAAATGGTGTGTTCGTTTGCATAGTAATAATATATAATAATTGTTGTAATGTTTGTGTTCCTCTTAAATTCATATGTTGCAATCCCAACCCTGAAGCAGTGGTTTTAGGAGGTGGGGCCTCTGGGAGGGGGTTAGGTCATGCGGATGGAGCCCTCAGGAATGGGACTAGGGCTCTTATAAAAGGGTCCTGGGGGCTAGGAGTCCCTTCCATCAGCCAAGCGATGACAGTGAGAAGGTGCGGGTCTCACCAGGCACCAGATCTGCCGGGGCCTTGATCTCGGACTTCTGCTTCCAGAACAGTGAGAAAGAAATGTCTGTGCTTTGTAAGCTGCTTAGACTATGTTGTGTTGTCACAGCCTGAACCAGCTGAGGAGGAGGAGGAGCTAACATTACTGACTGCCCACTGCACACCAGTCCCCAGTTAACACGGTACTGAATCTCTCTCTATTAACCCTCACAAGTTTTTGAGAGCAGCACTGTTACTATCCCCGTGTTATCGATGTCCTGAAAGCGTAACTTTCCCAGGTCACAGGGCCCTGCAGATCCGCCTCACCCTGGAGTGACTGACGGCTCCGATTTCTCTTTGCCTTGTCAAAGGCTCCCTTTCAATGTAACTTCTATGCGATGCCTGTTAATTGATTACAAAATGTGACAATTGCTAAGATTTGAAAAGAGTGGCACGGGTTCAGTTAGTCACTCTCAAGCTCTTTCACACATTTTTCAGTTTGAATGGAATACTTCGCATTTTCTGACATTAAGAACAATTAGTCATATATCAAGTTCTACTGCATTGAGAATGCATTTGTCATTTGAGCAGAAGCATATGGCTCAGTTGGCCTGCATCAAGCGCCAGGTATCTGCGATTTTGAGTTTGCCCACCACACGGTTATGAGGCCTTTCAGCATGTCCTTGCCCACGTATATCCTCTGTCCCTGGTTGGCTCAGCACAGCTCACAGCTTACATCTTACGTCCTGCAAGAAGTGCTCTGCAGTGTTTCTCTGAAAGCAATCTCCCACTTCGGATGCAAGTGTGGTTGGATTTATTGCTGACCTGCGTGAGCTGACACAGACAAGTGTTTCCTATTTGTATATTCACAGACTCCCAGCTGGTCCTAGAACTCATTCATCCTCCTACTACCTTGGTCCTTAGTTCTCTGATTCTTTTCCTTACCATGGTCTCTGTGTTGAGCATGCTGCATCTTCATTAATCACCAACATTTCTATTCACTTACTTTTAAAATGGATCTATCTAAAGACTATTTATCTGAAAGGCAGATTTAGAGTTAGAGTTAGAGAGAAACAGAGAGAGAGAGAGAGAGAGACCAAATGCCTGCATTAGCTAGGGCAGGGCCAGACCAAAGCCAGGAGCCAAGAACTGCATACAGGTCTCCCATGTAGGTGGCAAGTTGTCAAGCACTTGAGTTGTCATCTGCTTTTTTTTTTTTTTTAATTTTATTTATTTATTTGAGATGTAGAGTTACAGACAGAGAAAGGGAGAGACAGAAAGGTCTTCCATCCACTGGTTCATTCCGCAGATGGCCACAACAGCTGGAGCTGAGTTAATCCAAAGCCAGGAGCCAGGAGCTTCCTCCAGGTCTCCCACACAGGTGCAGGGGCCCAAGCACTTGGGGCCATCCTCCACTGCTTTCCCAGGTGCATTAGCAGGGATCTGGGTGGGAAGTAGAGGGTCCGGGACTCAAACCGGCGCCCATATGGGATGCCGGCACTGCAGGCGGCGGCTTTACCTGCTACACCACAGTGCTGGCCCCATCTATTGTGTTCTGTAGTGCAATTAGCAGGAAGCTGGATTGGAAGCAGAGTAGCAGGACTTGAACCAGTCCTCTGAGCAGTGGCTTAACCTGCTGTGCCACACACCTGTTCCAATCATTAGCATTTTTAAGTTATCAAAATTATTTAGTACCTCCTCTTAATTTCTTCTTGTATTACTTTTTTAAAATAAAAATCAATCTATTTAGCCGGCGCCGTGGCTCAATAGGTTAATCCTCCACCTTGCGGCGCCGGCACACCGGGTTCTAGTCCCGGTTGGGGCGCCGGATTCTGTCCCGGTTGCCCCTCTTCCAGGCCAGCTCTCTGCTATGGCCAGGGAGTGCAGTGGAGGATGGCCCAGGTGCTTGGGCCCTGCACCCCATGGGAGACCAGGAAAAGCACCTGGATCCTGGCTCCTGCCATCGGATCAGCGCGGTGCGCCGGCTGCAGCGGCGGCCATTGGAGGGTGAACCAACGGCAAAAGGAAGACCTTTCTCTCTCTGTCTCTCTCTCTCACTGTCCACTCTGCCTGTCAAAAAAAAAAAAAAAAAATCAATCTATTTGAGAGGCAGCAAGACATCCAGAGAGAAGCATATAGAAGAAAAGAGAGCGATTCCATCCACTGGTTCACTCCCTAAATCTCCAGGATGGTCAGGGGACCCAAGGTCTGGAACCCGGAACTCAATCCAGGTCAGCCACGTGGATCATGACCGCTTGGGTCATGACCACTGCTTCCCAGGGGCTGTAGTAGCAGAAAGTTGGAGTTAGGAGTTGGTGGCAGGAATTGAACCCAGGCACTCTGTGTCTTAACCCTTTGGCTAAATGCCCGCCCACTTCATGTAGCATTCTAATCCTACAACTAAGGTTTACTATCCTCTCAAACTACGTGTATGGATTCCTCTGTCTGTTTAGCTCTTGACTTTTTATTCTCCTTCCCTCTCTCCTTCCCCGTTCTGTTTCCTCTGCTCCTCCCACGTTGCTGTCAAAACAAAATGAAACCGCAAACCCCTCGGGATCTCATCCCTGGTCCACGCTTTTCCTCCTTCTGGGTTTTCAATCCAAAGTCCTTACAGCTTAATGTGTCACTCACTGTATTTCATGCTAAGCAGAACCAGGTGCTGAGCTTTGGTGAGCTGAGGTTCATTTCAACAGAAAGACTGGCTGAGGTTTGAAGACCCCCTGCCCTTTAGATGTGACCAAAGGACTGTTAGAAATGGCTCCAATAAAGGGCGCTCTCATGGTGTAGCCAGAGAAACCCGAGTGTGAGCTTAGACCATGTGCTCAGTTCATGCGAAGACAACCGGGCAGGCCATGCACACAGGTGCAGGGCTGTCACTGGCAGAGTTCCTGACACCTTATTTAATTTCTTTCCAGTCACTTATTTGCTTCCATTAAACACAGGCAATTTCCCCCAAGATGGGGGTCCCAAGAGGTTTCCTTGGAATAAGAAAGAACAGGATATATATATATACATAATATACATTATATATATACCATACATATACCATATATACATATACCATACATATATATAATATATAATATACATTATATACCATTATATATGTTTTATATATGCTTTTTGTTTCATATTCTTAATTTATACATGCTTTATATATTTTATTTATATGTTTAATATATTTTTATTTAGCTACTTTTCAAGATTTTCCACAACACCATTTCTTGGCAATGATTTTGTTCTCAGAACGGAGCAGGAAGTGCCTATAGGCTTCGGATATGGAACCTTCTCTGTTCAGGCGTGATGGAGCACAGTGGAGAAAAACGGATGCCTGGTGTCCTGCCCTTGGAGCGGCCAAGCCCGCGGTGCCAACACCAGCAGAGCCGGGGGTTTCTAAGCGCAGGCCCGGTGCCTTTCCTGGCCTGGCGGTGCTGCCAGTTTGACTTCTTGCTGCCCTTTGATCACCCCTGGATCAAAGCAGAGCGCAGCCGGGCTCCGCCTCCGCCTCCGCTTCCTCTGAGCTTTCCCCGTGGTGCCTGCCAGGTGCCTCTGCCACAGGGGCCTCCCTTCCCAGGCTCTCAGGACGGAGAGGACACCACCCAGGGTCCCTCACACAGGGGGCCCTGACCCTGCGTGCGCCCGTCCCTGAGCCGAGGGCAGCTGGTGACATCACAGCAGGCCGGGCGGGGGAACTGCACGCAGCTCCCAGAGAGCCTCCTCGGGCTCCTCGTAGCAGGGGCCAGGGCCTCCACCTGCCCCTGGCTCAGGCCCACCCTGTGGGACCCAGAGCCCCGCCTCCACCCACACCTGCACTCCCTGGCCCCCTTCCTCCTTGCTGTTATTAAAAGCAAATAGCCCGATCCCCTTTGAGTTTTCCCACGGTCCCTGTGCCCCCGCAGGAGCGTAACCAGCAGGCAGGGCTCACGGGGCCCCGTCCTCAGAATTCACCTTCAGCCACGCAGAATTCCTTGATGAAGCCCACTTCCCAGTCAGCAATGACCACCTGTACTTCTGAAGCGACCTGGGCAGAGCAAGGAGCACCCGGGTCTCTCCAGCGGTAAGACAGCCGCTGAGGACAAGGCCTGTGGGGAGCCAAGTTTCCGCAGAGGTCGGCCATGGTCTTTCAGGCGGGTGTCCTGGGGTCGGGGCCAGCAGCTTCCTGCAGATGGCCAGCACTGGCCCGAGCTTGTGCCTCCGCCTGGCGCCTACTGCAGAGCCTGAGAAGCCAGCAGATGCCGGCCTGGGACGGGAGGTGCCAGCGGGAAGCTACCCACGGCGACCCGAGTGCCTCCTGGCCTGGGTTGAAGGCACCACTAGTTTAACAAGGGGAAAGCCAAGAAGACATGCAGGGCCACCCCAGACCAGGGCAGATCTGTGGTCAGCAGCAGGGATAATGAGAGCATGAGAGCAGACTTCCCAATCACATTAAGAAGATCGGTTTATTACTTGAAAGGCAGAGTTCCAGAGAGAGACAGTCTCCTATCTCTTCTGCTGGTTCACCTCCCCAAGTGCTTGCAATAGCCCGGCTGAGACCAGGCCAAAACCAGAAGCCAAGAACTCCATCTGGGTCTCCCATGTGGGTGGCAGGGGCCCAGATCCATCCCCTGCTGCAAAGATTGATTTATTTATTTTAAAGGCAGAGAGAGCAAGAGAGTGTGAGTGATTTCTTCCATCTGCACCCAGATGGCTGCAACAGCCGGAGCTGGGCTGATCTGAAGCCAGGAGCCAGGAGCTTCTTCCGGGTCTTCTTGGGTGCAGGGCCCAAGCACTTGGGCCATCTTCTACTGCTTTCCCAGGCCACAGCAGAGAGCTGGATTGGAAGTGGAGCAGCCAGGACTTGAACCGGTGCCCATAGGGGATGCTGCACTGCAGGCGGCGGCTTTATCCTATGCTACAGCACCAGCCCCTTTCCTACACATTTGTATTTTCATTTTCTTCTCACAGAACTGTACCATGCTATATAATATTCTTAAAAAAGCAGTAAACTTGAGTGAAGAGATTTCAAATTTTCTATTTTAATAAATTAGTTTGATCAAGTGCAACAGGTAAAGGTTTAGAATAATTGAGGAATGGGGCTGGTGCTGTGGTGTAGTAGGCTAGGCCTCTGTCTTTGGCACTAGCATCTCACATGGGTGCAGGTTCGTGTCCTGGCTGCCCCTCTTCTGATCCAGCTCTCTGCTGTGGCCTGGGAAAGCAGTAGTGGATGGCCCAAATGCTTGGTCCCCTGCACCCACGTGGGAGACCTGGAAGAAGCTCCTGGCTCCTGGCTTTGGATTGGCTCAGCTCCAGCTACTGTGGCTATTTAGGGAGTGAACCACCGGTTGGAAGATCTTTCTGTCTCACTTCTCACTGTAACTCTACCTCTCAAATAAATAAATAAAGGAATAATAGATTTCTTAAAAAAAGAAAAATAGGATAATCAAGGGAGCTGACAAGAGGGGCCGTGGCACAAGCACAAACTGAGTGTGTGTCGGGGGCTGGGTCAGTGTGGACAGTCCGGAGACTCCCCAGAGCCATGGGGAAGGGACCCAGGACAGCTGCTGTGACTGTCTAAGTCCGAACCTGCGTGCCAGGCACTGTTTCAGTTTCCCCTCCATTAACTCGGGGAAAAAGCAGAAACATGAAAATTACCTGCAGAGCAGGTCTATGAGGCAGAGGCTTGTGATGGAGAAACTGACCGGGTTAAGCAATGCCTAGAAGCCCGGAGAAGCGTCATGGTGATGTGTCTGTGAGGGTGCTTCCAGATGAGATCAGCTGAGTTTGAGTGGACCAGATGCTTGACGTGGGTGGGCACCATCGATGGCCGAGGCTCTGCAGACACTACACACAGAACTGGTCTCCGGCTCTGAGGGCCAGGGCACATGGCTCCTGCCTCCCATGTCCCTTGCTGGCCTTTGAACCCCAGGATCTGGACCAGGGTCAGGTCCTCACCTGGGAGACACAGGACTAACTGCTTTGCAGGGAAAGCAATGCTGCGCTGGGGTCGGCCGACCTCTCTGATGCAGTCAGTGCCTCCTGCAGGCCAGGTGTGGGAGGCCAGGAGCGAGCAGCAGGGAGCCCTCTTGGGTGCTATCCAAGGGGAAGCCCAGCAGCCCTAAGTGGAGGCAAAGGCCTGATTATTCAGAACTACACAGGGACCACAATAGGTGTCCACCTGCCAGGCTGGAGGGGGCCCCTAAGAACTGATGAAACAAAGTAGGACAGGAAGGGGAGAGGCTGAGAAACAGAAAAGCAAGCAAGTGGGTTTTTTTCTCACTGCGGACCCCAGTCCAGGAAGGAGATACAGGTGCCAACTTCAGAGATTTGGTGATTATCTTGGACAGGGCGTTCCAGTTCCCGACTGGAAACTGGGTCTGACTCTCCGGTCGCTGTGGGGGACTGTCTTTCACAGAAGGAAAGTCACAGGCCTTCAGGATTCTCAGGAAATTCTAGGAGAACTGGAATCCAGGAACCGCCCAGACCAGCAGGGCAGGACGGTCCTCCGGGCAAGGCCACTGTGTGCGCAGCACGAAGACAAGCCAAGGAGGGAAAGAGGGGTTTGGTTGTCCTTGGCGTCTGACAGTGACCTCCACGGAGTCATCGACGCCTGTGAGATTAGCACTACGCACCGCCATCTCGACTATTCTGGGCAACGGTTTCTATTTCTGTGGTGGTGTCTGTCTGTCTCCACAAAGTCACAGAACAGCAGAGCAGCGGGGAGCCTCTGTGACTGTCTGCAGCTATGGTTCTGTGGGCCATGAGCTCTGAGAGTCCAGTGGGCTCCACGAGTTGTGGTACAGCTTGCGACACCAGCACCCCATCCTGGAGCACCGGTTCGAGTCCCAGCCGCTTTGCTTCCCTAGCTCCCTGCTTATGCACCTGGGAAGGCGTTGGAAGACAGCCCAAGTTCTTGAGCCCCTGCCATCCACATGGGAGACCTGGATGGAGTTCCAGGTTCCTGGCTTTGGCCTGGCCCAGCCCCAGATGTTGTGAGCATTTGGGGAGTAAACCAGGGAATGGAAGATTTGATTCTTCCTCTCTGTGCCAGTCTGCCTTTCAAATAAATAAAATAAATCTTGAAAAAAGAAAAGTGCCTATGCCTGAGCCTCTGCCTACACTTCCCAGGGTTGAGATGCCTCAGCAACTGCCCTTGCTGACAGGGCCCATCTACTCCTGAACAGGCTGAAGCACCAGATACCCACCCGCCCGCCTCCCTGCAGCTGGCGCAAGACCACGTGTCCCCACCCTGGCTCAGGTCTAGTGGGAGGGAAGCTGTAGCTTTTCTATCTGGTGAAAAGCAGAAAGGGGTGCCCCTCCTTCTTTCCTGCCTTTGGATGTGGGTGCTCGCAGTCCAGGTGCCCTCTTGCAACCCTGAAGAGAAACCCAGAGAAGCTGAAAGACCCAGTCCTGTCCTGATTGCTTCCGGCAGGGAGACTGGATGTGGCCTCACTGTGTAAGCTGGTGGTCACTGGGGCTTCCTTTTCTCATAGGTGAGAGCAGCCAGACTGGCACGAGTGGACGCCCTAAAGCCATCCAAGGGTCTGCTAAGAGTTGATGGACCCAGCTGAGACAGCGCAGATAGTCGGGGCTCCTCATCCTACCGACATCATCTCTGCCTCTCAGCAGCCCTCAGGGACCAGTCCCCATCTGGAGAGGTCAGCGCAGGCTGGAATGCGAGCTTCCCAGGGCTCACGGGGCTGTCTCCGCTTTCTGGGAGAGCTAGCGTGAAAAGCAGTCTTCTTGGACGGGGACGGGGACTTAGACCTGTGCCACTGGAAAACACCGGTTCTCAACCTGCCTCCTCCTCGGCCCCAACCTGTGTTGGGACCTCTCATCTGCCTGTGCCTCAGTTTCCACATTTACCTACTTGGGCTGAGGCTGTTTCGAGGGACGGTGCACCCCAGTGCCGAGGCCGACCCTCCTTGCCACGTGAGGGTTTCCTCCCCTCACAGCCCACCTGCGGCACCAAGATGCAGCCCAGCGCTCAGCAGTGCTTCCGCGGAAGCACCATGAAGCGGAGATGTTGCCGCCTGCCCCTTTGACCGAGGGAGCGAGGAGAGTGAGTGTGCCCAGGAGACCCAGGACCCGCCTCCTGCCCATCACCAGGGAGCGGCGGCAGGCGCTGGTGTCACCATCTGCTTCTCCCCACCCTCCATCAGCACCCCGCTGGCTTAACTGCCTGCTGGCTCCACAGCCTGGGCTCTTGTTGGTTCAGAGAAACAAACTGCTTTAAAATTTTATTTTTGGAATTCCTCTAAAGTGCCGGGCAGACACAGAGATCACAACAACTCAGAGCTTTGCTACTGGCTCCACACCAACATTGCACACTGGCTTATTCAAATCCAGAAGGCCCTGCCTGGTCCCCGAGTGAGCACCACATGGCTAAAATTAGCGCGGCCATCTGCTGAGGCAGCAGCTGCGCTATTCTGAGCCCCGGCAATCTTGCTTGGAAGTGGGGCTGGGCCTGGGGGGACCGTGTGGCCGAGGCTGGTGGCTTTGTGGTCAAGGGGGATGCTGGGGAGAGACAGGAGGGTGAAGTCAATGGCCAGGGAAGGCCACTTGCCAGGAGATGGGAAGATGCACATGCTGTCCCCGCATCCTGCTCTCTGGCAAACCCCCACCCCCCACCCCGCTTTCTTGCCTGGAGCTGCCTGTTTGGATTCAGACTCCTTACAAAACCTTTCTCTGGACTTCATTAATAATGGCCAGGATTTACTACCTATAGCTCCCTACAGGTAAGCAGCCACACACAGTAAGCACCTGAGAGACTGGCACCTCAGATTTCGGGGAGTCAACAAGAAAGAGAAAAGCTTGGCTATAAGCACCAGATGGGCAGAGCCCAAGCACAGATTATCCCAAGAGTCTAGCAGTTCTCTCCTAGGGACCCTGACTCCTGCTTACCCTCTCTGGACAGACGTGCCACTCAGAATTCAGAATCCACTGATCTAAGGGGTGAACAATTTGTGTACAAATGTGACCTAGGGGTGGTGCTGTGGCACAGAGGGTCAAGCCACCGCCTGCAGCACTGCTGTCTCATATTGCACGAGCTTGAGTCCCAGTCGCTCCACTTCTGAGCCCATTCTCCTCCGCAAATGCGGCTGGGAAAGCAGCAGAAGATGGCACTCGGGCCCCCTGCCACCCACGTGGGAGATCTGGTTCCTGGCTTTGGTCTGGCCTA